ATCAAAACTGAAAAATAATTGACGTTATTACATAATGAATTATAACGAAAAAAGATCAAATTATGAAGATGATCACGATTAATATTATTATTTTGGATCATAATTATCTATGCTGATTCATTTTTAATTTAAATTTTTTAATAGTAAGATCTTAAAAAAGTGATCAAAGAGTTGTAATATTTAATAACGTGATGAAACATCTAGTGGATATTCTTCATACTTTCGTCCACTTTCACTCTCTTTTACCTCGTTCTAATCATCAAAACCAGTGTAGGTTTTATTTTTTTTTTTTTTTAATAGGAAATGGTTCACTTCCGGTACAGCCTAGTTTCATCGATCGATAACTTTTTTTGTTAATTAAACGGCTTCTATGTATTCCATCGCGCTAGAAAGGAATTTCAGTATTTAAAAATTGATGATCGAGCATTTCTCCGTTGGATAGTTTTCTCTTGAGCATGCTCACTATTCATCACTGATATCGGAAACGGAAGTTGGCGCGATAAGAGGAAACGGTAGATATCGTGTACTAAAAAATTGCTGGAATCATTTTAATACTGATTGCTGGAAATATATAATGGAATTTTGGAAAAGATTCAGAAATAATGGATTTTTATAATAAAAGCAATATATTTAATAATGAAATAATGAAAGAAAGAAAAAAACAAAAAATCGAATTTTATCAAAATTTAAATGAATATCATTTCATTCGTTAATTATATTCCATTCATTCTTCATAACGTTCAAAGAAATACGACAGTTTTTTATTTCCGAAAGTGTGAAAAATAAATAACGCTTGACAGATTTTATCATCGGTTGTACTCATTAAAATTGGTAATGAATAGTTGAGATTCGCAATAACAACGCTTATATCGCGGTGAAATCATCGATGACGAGTCACGAGAGAAACGCTTGTTAAAATATCTTGGCGAGAATTAGACTTTCGATTCTTTCTTCGATCTTTGGACTTACGATAGAAACCGTATACGCATGCGCGCGTAACTAAAGAAAAATTGTCATCCTTACATTCACGGTGATCGCTACATCTCTTTAGCTATCAATTTTCTTTTGTTCGTTCTCTTTCTTATTTTTACACAAGATTATCTATTCCATATTTTTTGATTGTTTACGGTAGTATAAATAGTAATAAAATTGATACAATAATATAACAAGTTGGATAAAATTTTAATAAAACTTTTGATTGATATACGTATTATTGTTATCATAATATTAACATAAACATTGATTTATAATCAATAATTTGTAATCTAATATAATATTAATAAAATTAAACTTCCTATAGCACAAAATAACATACTCACGACAAGTGCACGAATCTTTAAACACGAAAATAACAGGAACGAACATAATCGAAAAGACAGGTTATCTCTGTGGCCTCATTTTTCACAAAGCCGTCACGCTAGAAGCGTTAATTTATCAAAACGAGGTAAAACCGACATGCTCTCATCGTCGAGGGTTCATCCAAAAAACGAGAACAATAGCTGTATCTAGTTCCTTCACAAAGGGAAGTTGAAGCTGGGCAGAAATTCCTATCTTTGCGATCTTTCTTGCTCGGGGCAATTTTTCTTACAACACTCGAAATTATCGGGAAAACTCAGCGGAAATTTCCGTCACGGAAAGCACGATTATACCCGTTACTGGAACATGAATTAGCATGCAACCGACTGAACATGCCTTTCCATGTGGAACGCGTGAAGAATGCGAATTCTTTTCTACCGATAACTGTAGCTGTTCCTCCGTTAATCAACTGTACGTGTTTTCAGGTGATCAATAACGGACTGAGGAGCGATACTGACAGCTGCGACGGTTTAACAAACGGTGAGTCACGCGTCATCGACGCATCTCCTCTTCCTTCTCTTTTCTTTTCCTTCGTTATCGTTTATAGCGATAGGGTCTTTACTCTCGTAAAGAACCTTAACTGGCTATAAAAAGCGGTGCATTAGATCCGATCCAGGCATAGGAGCCGTCGGTAAGCTTTAGCTTCATTGACCGAATCCCGCAATGAAAAGACTGCCTCCCTATTGTACAAAGCTCTCTCTGCCGGTATCCCCAATTGAACGAATGCTACTATGTTGTGTATAATGTAACGTATAATGTCGAACATTATAAATACAATAATTTAATTCACAATTGTTCGCGTTAAAATATATATTCGAAATTTTGAATAGATACATTTTTTTTACTTATTTTCTAGATAATATATTTGACAAGTAGAAAATCCAAATATATTAATTTTAATCTCGGATATTATATTATAATTTTATAGGTTACTTCGGTCAATGATTACATTCATAATCCAATCAATGAGAAAAGTTTATTATTTTTAATGTCGTGTATATATGTATATATATTTAATTTTTTTCTACATCTAGTAATATTGATAAACAAATTGATTATTATAAATAATAATAATTAAAATAAGCAAAACTAAGGAATTAGAACAAAAAGCTATATTATTCTTTTTCTTTCAATATTTTTTCGTTTTAGTGTTGATTTGTTCTTTCATTATTATTTAATACAATAATATTTAAATCATCATTTATATGGAATGATAAAATAAAATTTTAGTAAAAATAGATCAAAAAGAAATATTTTTATAAAATTTTTACATTATAAAAAATTAAAAATAATATAAAATAATTTATCATCATCAAAAATTCATATTATTTTTAATAATTTTTCTAATCCTAATATAAAAAAAGAAAAATTAAAAAATTATATATTCAAAAATTTTTAAATTCTCATTAATTCTTCATTAAACAAATAAACATGAAAAAACATGAAATTCGAAATCCTATCTTATATTTTACAGTCAATAACGATATAAAATAACACCTAGCGAAAGATTAAGAGGAATTAAAAGCCCAATAATTCAAATATTTAAAGAAAACGATTTATTATATAATTCAATGTGAAATTATTCGTTTCACCGATTCTAGAGAGATTCCTTCAATGCTAAAGATGACTCCCAAGCATATACCGCGAGAAGAGCTCAAGCGTATAATACGAATAAATGCTGTGTAAGTAGGAGAAACAAGGGTCAGGGTTTTGGCGGTTCGTGGTAAATTCAACGTATGGTTACGGCCCTGACTTTGCCCTTCGGTCATTATTGTCTGTCGGAGCGGTCGCCACATTTTCTCACGCTACTTCAGCTGCTTCTTATTCGCGGTGCAATGATCTCCCTTTCGTATATTGCCCGCACATCTGCCTCAAAATTACATCCTGACCGGGTCTGCATTTTTATTTTTCTCTCCCACTTTTTTCTCCCCTTCCATTTCTCTTCCATTGTCGAATCTGCAAAGATGCGTTCAATCAGCGAGGAAAGTATATTTACTTTCGTGATTCTGCGAATTGATCGATTATTCAGATACTTCTCGTCACTTAACTCTCGAACGAATCACTTTCGATCGAAAATTATCCGCATCACGTGCGATCCAGTTTATGAACGTTTTATACGCAGGATGCGATCGAAAGTAATATTTTTATTTTAGAATATGATAAATTGATATTATTAAGATATTATTTTGTATTTACAGCAAAAATTTTTTTGTGCAATAATTATACGTATTTATTTGAATTTGTCAAATTATAACTTTTTTTCTTTGACAAGTAATAACAAAATTAACTTTTTTTAAAACTATTCTCGATTCCAGATCGGACAGAATATATAAATTCAGGATTATTTTACATCACAATTATTTATTGAATATACAAATTACATTTTGTTTAATATTTCTTATCAATTACAAAGTTAATTTCTTATTCTCTTTTGAATGCTTTCGTTTTCGCAAAAAGTCAATTTAGCTCGAAAATAGGTCGAAAACGATCAATTTTTGTGCCACTTTCGCTACTAATCACTTTTCAAATGTATATTTCAATGTGTTTCTAATTGATCATTAGTTCAATGTCTGCCATAAGAAAGCCATCTCGCGGACGGAGTTTTAATGAAAAATCTAAAGAATCGCATCATTACCTGCCATCTTTTTAAGGACACTCGCTTCCTCTGGAATCTATATTTGCTTTCGATTTTCATTTCTTTAACCTATATATCGAATCAATTGATCATTCTTAATTCAAAATTAATTGATTGTAATATGAATTAAAACAGAATTGGTTAAATTACTTCTTTTTAACTTAACATGCTTGAATTCAAATACTTGAAATAACTAAAACTACTTTATCGATGAAGTTTCTTATTGATTCGACTTGAAATATTTTTTCAAATATTCCTATGCTCGATTTTAATCGTCAATTAAATTGGTTTAATTAACTTGACTTTAAATCGCTTTATCGAAATAATTCGAGTAATTTGAAATTATCTCATTAATTTAAACCTATTATTTAACTTGATTTGAATATCCTTTCAATTTTCAAATTAAATTTAATAGTTCCTTTAATTTTCTGATTAACTGAAAAACAATTATATGCTAATTTAATAATTAAAAATAAAAATTATATTAAATAATTGAAATTTTGCTACATCAAATAAATTATTTTGCCTAAATTCGGATAAGATCGTTTCCTTGTTGCTTCGTATTTCGTATATTTACTATAAATAATCTGTTGAAATACGGGATAGAGTGGGGCGGAACGATAATTCGGTTAAATTCGACTTTATTCGGGCAGAACCGTTTCCGCATTGAGAACTCGAACGTTTCTAACTTATGCTTCCGGATTGTCGGTAATTGTATTATTTATATCCGCGTAATTATATAATTTTCGAAAGAAAATCGTTACATATCGATACAAATACATACATTATATATATATATAGAAATGAATTACGATTAATTGGCGATTGGAAGAGATCGTCGACTGGAAAAAAAAAAAAAAAAAAAGAAAGAAAGAAAGAAAAA